AATCCCGAAATCCCGGGATTTTTCAAAACTTAAATCCCGGGATCGCGATCAGAACTGTGATCCCGGGATCCCGTGCAAACCCTAGTTCCAACGTTTCGGCAACTCAAACGCCTTATGAAAAAAGCTGCATAACGAAGTGCAGTCACTGAAACCTTCTGACCAGTATTCGTTCCGCGCTATGGTCAATTCAATTAATACTGCCGTTCGTCAGCTGAAGGAAACAAGCTACATCAACAATCCGTTATTGAAAACGCCCACCGATAGCAAACTATCGATGGGGTTGCTAGACGTCTACAACGAAAAACAGTTGATTAACGTTCCCGATTGGAACGTCAATCGACTGTATTCAAGACCATAAAATATGCTCAAAGTGCGCGAACAGATCAAGCGATCAGCTCCAATGGGTCAGTACAATAAGCGATCAGCTCCAGAGAATCAATTCAACAAATAGGGAGTTGGTTCTCTGATCGCTTATTGTACCAAGTGGGCAATTCAATAAGAGACAGGCTGCATACCAGACAGTCAAACAGATCCGTGACGATCACCTAGATATCAACAACACGGAACTAAATTCAGCACTCGTAACACCGCAACAAAACAACTCCAATCAATTTCCTCAGCAACAAAACGACGGCGAGTTCCAGAAGAAAAGTACCTTAGTGTCTGCCATCATAAACCAAATACTTCTCACCGCCAAATTGTTAATCTATCGTACATCATCAATAATAAATTAAATTTCGTGGCCATTTGCTATCGCATAACAAAAACTCGCCGAGAAGTCAGCAGTCCTCATGCCAAGTTCACCTTCGTATGAAATTCTAGAAATTTGAACATGCGAATAGAAGACGTCTTCTTGCGATCAATTCATAATGAGCGTGCACTGAAGTTTCACTTCATATGAGTAGTTATGCATCAATGAAATCAAATAATAGTTTAACAGATGAACGATATGAAACACGATCTTAATATCATAGGAATTTAATCGTCTTATTCACTCGCATTAAAACAACAATCGAATGATACAAACAATGAAATAATATTGTCGAGGTACTATACAACGATGGGTAGATGATAATAATTATTCGAGCATTCAACCGACCTTCACAGCGATTAATCAGTTGCATAATTTCAACGCTTCAGTGATGGAGTTTCATTTCAAAATTCACTAAAACAATACTAGGTGTAATATTCGTTGTGCGTTTATTGTATTCAGAATCGATGACAGCATCAAATTATTTTTTTNTTTTTTTGAAGATTTCATCTACAAATGTCACAACAACGAATTCTAAATAATAAATAAAATAAAATTTGAAAAATTCTCAATTCTTTTCATATTCCACGAGCCGTATTTCAATTTAGAACTTCAGTCTCGCAGCGTTTTCTAACTAGGAGGTGAACATGAAAATTGAATGCTTCACTTCACATTATCATCGAAACTGTGACACGAATAACAATCATGACAACGATATTCAATCAGCATTGCAATCGGCCACTTCTTAGTATTTGATCTTTTTTGCAACTTCACTGAAATAGATTTGATATAGGAAAAGAAGAAGGACGTGCAAAGAGCTAATGGAAGTTTATGGCCTGTAGAATAAAGAAACTACTGATCCATGAATAGGTTATTCGAGTCAGAAATATACGGAGGGAACGCAATAATGCATATTTGTAAGTATACATCTACGAGATCGCGAAATGCTCAGCAAAACAGATAATTCAATCAACTGACAAAATGTTCCAAAGCACTCACCTTCGTCCTTCAAATTTCCTCTTTTCGAGTATTTTCGTAATTTCCGAGAATTCACGATCCAATTTGTGTTTCTCCTTATCCACAGCACTTTTCCTCGTCTTTCTACCATCGTTTGTCTTAACACCGAACTGATAAGCTGCTCTGTAATGCAAAATGTTAACGTTGAGATTGGAAGTAAAAAACAGATTAAAATACAAAAGAATACATCAACGGAGTTGTATTCTTCACAATAACTTATGCAAATAGCTGCAGAAGAAGATCGTTTTAATTGGCTACACAATGCGGGAACACTCTTCTGAACCTCTCAATGTGATAATACTCATGGTTAGAAGTTAGAATTGTAGTCGGGGCTCGAACGATGCTTCCGTCTTTGTTATTGCATTTTAAATTAGCGCTTTCATTGAGGTACTTCAAACTTACTTTGGCATAGCTTCTCTCGATTCCATATATTTTTCGTATTCTTCGTGATCATCGAAATCCCACCGTTTAACCGGTCCTCGTCGGTTACCCTTTAATGAAAATCAGCCTAGTGAAACGAATTATTTATGGACAGTAAATACAATGAACAATAATTCCGTTGAAATCAGCAATAGAATGGTGGGTAATCAGTGTTCACGAGTTGTGCTTATCTCTGGACAAATGAGAAGAAAACCATAAATATTATGGATTGTGAAGTGCAAATGATTTTTAACTTCTTTTTTTGTAATAACTGATAACAAATAATAGACCATATCCATTTTTGAGTAATCCGCTTCATCGTCACTTTCACCAGCTGCTTCGTACATTTCAATGCCACCGGGATAGCATTCTGCATAACCTTCGGTTTCTGATGCAATCTTCGATTTCTTAGTGCTGCTCAATGCACTCTCCGCAACCTTGACAATCTCTTCTTTGCCTTTGCCACGCTGCTTTTCATCATCTTTGCTGCTTATCGATCGCTTATCTGCACGATCCGCTTTATCCTTATCACTACGATTACGATCGCCATCGCCTCGGTCCCTGTCTCTACCTCGATCTCGATCGCGCTCTCGTTCTGTGTCACGACCACTGCTGCTCACACCGTCGAAATATCTCAAATCAAATGTTACAACACAACAAATTATTTCGCTTCTTTTTACAGACTAACAGCAAAAGTCAATGACAAAAGCAAATTTGTTATTCTGCCTTACGAAGAGGGTTTCGAGCGTCGTCGATCTTTGTCTTTACCACGATCTCGTTCTCTGTCCCTATCCCGATCTCTGTCTTTTTTCGAGTGTTCAATCTCATCGTCGTTAAATATCGGTTGCTGTGAAAATTTGCTTCGTTGTTCGTCATTCAACGCATTCCCTCCACCACCCGCAGTATCTGCTTTCCTCTTCCTTTTTATTGTATCGTTACGCAAATATGACAAAACTTGCGTTAACTTCTGCAATAACATCACATGTCAAAACCCGTAGTCAACTAAACATGCATCAGTGATCAATTTATCACGTCTTCAATTCAGAGTTTTCACTGAGACAAATGCCTTTATAATTAAATAACAAGAAGGCCATGTTTGGAATATATGCATTCGATACGGACAGTACGTGATATACGACGCACTTAATGAACAGGGCAAATAGTGACGAATGAGAGGCCCGAAGAGATCTTTTAACCTGTATAAGCAAATTGCTCGTATTCAGATCATGACTGCTCTCTGTGAGTGGACAATCGTGAATCGAACGAAGTCGTGTTGTTGGTAAGTCATATTCTTCATCCTCCAATTCGACCACATACGCCATTCGACCTTTTCTGTTTTTATTATCCATATATTCACTAACAACTATTTGGCCGGATCAAAGTATTTTAAAATTGTTTCACTGAATTAAATCTTATATTTTGAACACACGTATGCAATCATAACTCGAAAAAGATATTTATGTCTATAAGAAAGTTGATAATCCGAGAGACTACATGTTATATTCTAAATACTATAGATGTGACAATGTTCAAAGTCGAGCTACATTTTGAATTGAGTCAACGATTAACCTGAACATATCATTGGTCTGTGGAAAGTCATTCTGAAAAAGATTACGGAGTATATTTCGAACCATTCGATTATCTGACTGCACTTCTTCGACCTGACTTTCTCTCTATAAAAAGTAGATTTCAGTTTTGCTGCGATAGTCAATCATTATCAGACGAGATGAAATGAAAGAAATAAAACCAACATTATATGCACTCTCTATATCGTCGTCTCCTTTCTGTTCTCGTAACGCAATTTCGGACCGTACTTTATGCAACAGTGAATAATCAAGACCTTTCACCAAGTGAGTATGTTCCATATCACCGCCCAAATATTTACTCTCCTTAAATTGTTCTCGTTTTCGATTTCACCAGAATTTTATTGAATCCATCAAAAATTCATATTAAACAATCAAAAACTGCTACATTGAACTGCAGTAAATGAAAAGCATTTCAACATGTACACTAGAATAAAATAAGATCATTCGAATAAGCAGCAATTGTAAGATAAAGCGTAACAAAATGAGTGAAGGTACTAATGGAAGAGTTGTTCATTTGGTATGACTCGACGATGAAATAAAAACTGGCATACTTGAATGGCTTGTTTTCTTCGTTGTGCAGCATCTGCCGTAGCACGTATATCGCTCGGTACAGCCCTATAGGCATTTGTTGTTTGCAGATCATCTGTATCCTCTTTACCCAAACCTTTACGACGTTCTTCTGCTCGATCACGATATTTCTTCAAGATTTCATTCAAATTCGAACCTAAAATCGCGTAACTTTAGTATCGCATAATTAGTTCCTTTAAAACCTAAAATCGCACATCGCATAATTAGTTCCTTTAAAACCTAAAATCGCGTAACTTTAGTATCGCATAAATAGTTCCTTTAAAACCTAAAATCGCACATCGCATAATTCTACGAATAAAACTGTTCAAATATAACGCATTCCAGTTCGTTGTTAGAATTATTTCGAATTCACTCGCGCATCAAATTCGTCCGACTATATGATAACTAAATAGCACTAGTATGAATCATGGGAAATTGACAACCCCAAAATGAATAAATAATCACAGAAACGGAAAAATTACCATAATCTTCATCGTCCTCATCCTCCTCATTTCGTTCCTTTTGTTTCTTCAGTTTGTTTGTTGAAGTGGAATTTCTTTTCGACCTGAGAAATCGACTCATGTCAAATCAGTTCACTATCAGTAGAAATCAATTAACACCATGTGGTTAGCGCATTCTCAACTGCGAAAGAACGCACTCACTCGCTGATATTATTCGTATTCTCAACTTGATCTAATTGTAAGGCAAAGTTGTTGGTCAGTGAAAAGGAAAGCACATCTGATGCAGTGAAACAAAACGAACTCATTTGCTTGTCGATGACTGAATGAATGTGTTGCCTGTGATTGAGCATTACTGTTACTGTTCTCTTTGGTGCTAGTGCTGACACTGGACTGGTTCGTTGTCGATTTACGAGATAAAAGTTGTCGAAAGTCTTCATTCTTCAGTGTGCCTGATGTCGCCGCACTGCCCGATGTACGCCTTTAAAACATATCAGTGTATGTCGAAACAAAAGAAGCGGATGAAGTGAAAAGTAGGCGAATGCTGAGAACAAACAAATGCATAAAAATAAAACTGAACACAGTCCGATGGGCTAAAATAATAGGATATTTATGACGTGATCATTCAAGACAACGCATCGCTTCTCTGAAAATATCACACGGTAGATTGCGATCTGCTTCTTAAAACTGTGAAGCGTTTATTATGATTACCAAACAAGATTTACAATCTCTCGTGCTCATATACCCTTAATGATGAAACTTTTTTTCACTGAAAAGCACACTTAATTAAAAAATCATTCGTAGTATAAATGAAGTAAATTTTACCCGGTCGAAGAGGCGACATCCGTCAACAATTGGTTCAATTCTTCATCCATCACTGTAAATTAATGGTAACAATTTTTAAGGAGAAGGCAAACTATCAACGATAATTGTAACAGTGAAAATAACTGAAACAGAAGTAACGATAACGGATAAATCTCGATCACTTCATTATACAACTCATAATGCTATCCAGCACAATATCAAAAAAAGGAACATTTCCTGTTTAAACGCCAGCAACATCCACCGACGAAAGAGATAAAGATATCGACAGCTTAGCAAGACGAATGCGCTGCAATTGGGCACGACATTTGGTAAGGCAAAATTCGATTCTCGTTCGCTGCGTTATTATTGTTTATTGGAAATGTAAATTTGTTATTCTTCTCTTTCTTTGACGTTTTCTTTGGTTTGATTTTTTTGTTGAAGGAATGGTCGTATTATAGAACAGGGTCGAGGAGGACGGGATGCGTACTGATAACAAGACGATGGCAAATACATCGGAAAGTCGTGATGATGAGTTATCACGTGATAAATATCACAGCAAACGTCACCATTTGGATCGAGAAAAACACACTAAAGGGCATCACCATGAGGATGAAGACAGGGACTCGAAAATTCATAACAAACGAAAGGAATATCATCGACGTAAGAGCATTCGATATAATGAATTGTTCCTGAAACTGAATCCGGTGTCATTTTTAACTCGAACTTACACCTCTTATCCATCTGCTTTTCTTTATCGTACACCGTTTCATTCGCTAAAGTCATCCTCCAAAATGAGATCAAGTTGATGAATTTTTAGTGTTTGCATTTGAGAAAACAGATTTAGTTTCACAATCTGATAACAGAAAACAGATTTTAGTTTGTGTTATATTCACAGAACGTTCCAGTGATATCAAGTCTAACTATTCATTTTCCTTACCTCGTTTGGTGATTTGAAAAATGGCGTTGATATTTAATCATTCGCTGTATATTCAGACGAACTGGAATCAAACAAAAGAGGAGATTCGAAATCGTCGAGGGCGAATGACGATTTTGATAGAAATGAGCGGCGGAAACAAATTAATGAAAGGCACAGAGACAGAGGGGGTGATGATGAAGGTGACATCAGTAGGGGAGATATGAGAACAGAGAAAAAAATCAGAGATTCGGCAGAACATTCAAATCGGCGAGATTCTTCCGGAAGAAGTGGACACAAGGAAAGCTCCAAAAGACGAGGCGAAGAACGCGAAAATGATCATCGAAAACAGTCAGTCAAGCGTGAGATTCGTGATGAAGATGATGGTAGAAATGCGAAGTATGGATTGCAAAAAAGTAATATACATTTCAATTTTTGAATATGCCCAATCCTTGAAATCAATTTAGGCCTATTTCAAGGTTTTTTTATTGACTCATTCACATATCAACAACATGCAAATTACAGAAGTGAAAAAGGGAATAAATAACGATGAAATTAATCATTCCGAACCAAGGTTAGTTCTGTCGATTTTTCTTTGTATCGTTTTGGTTGTTATTACATTCATTTATCTAGGTTTTTACTCGCCGATTCTATGTTTGAGTCGAGCAAGATAATGAACCCTCACTTTCTGTTTGGAAATACGTGCTTATCAGCTGTGTGCTACGTTCATTCAATTTCACCTTGTCGCTAGTTTCAGCTTCGAGCTAAGTAATTGTTCATTTTAACAGCCTGATGTGATCATTGACAATAATAGTGGTGACTGAAGTGTTCTTGAAGAGAAAATCTAGTATGGGGAAAGATGGAAGAGAAGAATGAGGAGACGAAACCCGTCGAGAAAGAGAAACCAAGTTTTGAGCCGAGTGGCAAATTGGCTGAAGATACAAATACCTATAAAGGCGTTGTTATCAAATACAACGAACCTCCAGATGCGCATAAACCGAAATTACGATGGCGTTTATATCCGTTCAAGGTGGTTAAGAATATCGTTTTATTTTGAACTGTGTCCATTAGGACAGTTTCAAAACTTATTTCCAATTTTATGTCTTTTTAGGTACGATTAAATCGACATCGTTGAAGATATAGAGTCAGCTGAAATTATTTTTTGATTGATCAAATTGTTTTTCAGACAAATGTTGAATTTTTCATTCATTCATGATCAATCTGAACATTCCCTTCTTAATCGAATCCCATCAGTTTAGCGATGTGATCATGAGCTCATTATCTCCTCACATCATAGTAAATGATTGAATCGTTTTGTTGTTTAGTGGTTGCTAGTTGTATGGTGAATAACGTCATTATGTAATTAAATTATAAACAACAATATAAAATGGTGCTTATTTCTTTAAAATTAAATCTAAAGATGACTTCAGGGTGATGAAGCATTACCAGTTCTGTATATTCATCGTCAATCGGCGTATTTGATAGGACGTGATCGACGTGTTGCCGACTTTGCGGTGGATCATCCAAGTTGTTCTAAGCAACATGCCGTATTCCAGTACCGTTTAGTTCCGGTTGAATTAGACGATGGTTCTAGAATTCGACGTATTAAACCGTATATCATTGATTTGAACTCTGCGAATGGTACTTATTTGAATAATGAACGCATTGAGCCACAACGGTTCGTTATCGCCTTTATTTCTCATCGTTTTGCTTGTTTCATTTTCTGATTTTATTCGTACTTTCCTCTTGTTAGATCTTCCATTTATTCATTCAGCCATTTTTTTAGAACCACACTGATTTGAATCCCGGAGATATTCTCCTCATTGAAGTTCTTTAGTGTTAGCTTTAATGATTATGCTACTTCCAAACAAATTTTCGAATATACAGCTGCGTTTGAATATTTGATAGCTTACTACTATCCACCGCCCAATTTTCATAATTTTGACAGACTATTTTTATTGTTACATTGAAAGAGTGAGTATCGAAATGTACTTTCAGATTCGTTGAATTGCGTGAAAAAGATGTACTGAAATTTGGCTTTAGTACACGTGAATTTGTTCTGCTGAACGAAAAATCAAATGAGTCAGATAGTGAATCAGACCACAACGATATGAAAATCCCGAAGCATTCCCCGCCCTCATCTCCATCTCCATGAAGGACAATTTATAATTTACAAAGTTGCTCTTTTCATTTTTATTTCATCTGAGAATCCTTTTTCAGCAGTGTTGTACCATTTCAATGATATAACGCACTCAAATATCTGTTTCACGCAATACCATAAACGTTTGAGAACGCTACTGAGCAATATTGGAATTTCCCGCAGATATTTATGTATTAAACTTAATTCTCAATGAAATTGACAGTTGTGAGCGTTCGCTTATTGTTATTGTTGTATATTATCTTTTCATTTTATTTCCAATCCTATTTTTTGAATTAATCACTGATGAGAACGTTACTTAATTCATTCATAGGTAAAACTCGCTTTTCACCTCATGAAAATCTTATTATCGTTCATTTTTGAATTGTTTTTTGAGTATTTTTCCTCTCTGCTTTTTTTAAGCGGAATTATGAAACTGAATTTATTTTAAATCTGGAACCAGCGAGTTCGTACTGCCGTAAGCTTGGGTTATACATTGAATTTGAAAGTGAATAACGTCAGTAACAAATAATAAAACTGTTCTGCAAGAGACGAACGTTATTGAGCAATGTGCACAAAGGGTCTACCGCACACACACAAAAAACCTGCATAATATGAACAGTTCTCGACAGGGAAGAAAGTGGACAAATAAACACAATTTAGCTAGATCCATGCATGTGGAGAGAGGGACTAAGAAGTTAACACTTTTATTTCTTTGCTTTAACATTGAAATAGTCAATCATAAACGTATGAATTATCAGAGATGAAAAAAATGAGATATCTTTGATATAACGTTGAATAATATTGGATCTTAAGACGTTCTTCGCTGATTTCAGCGATAACAGATACATAATTTTTCTTCCTCCTTTGGCGAGACAATCTTACAATTAGTGCAAGGACAAGAAAGTGTTCGGAAACAAATCAGAAACAAAGCAACTAATGAAAAATGAACTAAACAAGCACTTCTAACGGAATGCGGATCATGAACTATTTTATGCAAAACATATCACATAATGCAAAATCTGAAGATGAATTTGAATAAAATATACCGATAGGCAAAAAAGTCTTTATGACGAATGAAGTAAATCCAAACAAACAGTCAAATTAATAGCTATCTATGCACTAAAACACAACAATTGAGCATCAAATACTCATAACGTTCCAGGTAATCAACATAATAACAACCAATCAATGAATAAAGCTTGCTACAAAAAATGTGCAATGATATCAAAAATAACCCAAATTTACTCAACTTATCGTTAATGAAATGAGATGAATTCAGCAGATATGAGCTCGTATATTATA